TGCTGGTGCCATTTGGGGGCTCAGCCCATCTGGTTTCCAGATGACCTAATCTATATGTATAAAAGGGTAATATGGAAAGTGTCCCCTCTGCAGTTTGACCGGGAGACGGGTAGTTCAATTGCTCGCTATGACGTGCACTGACCACCAGGGGGCAGCGTGGAATATAGTGGGAAGGAGAAGGTGGGGAGGCAGGGAACCTGATGGGCCCTGGTTGCCGGCCAGGCCTAGGGACCCTACCCTTGCACGTGCACCGGGCCTCTAGTAAATGTATAATTCTTTACCCCTTTTGTGTGTTCCTCCTTCGGCGACCCTAACAGAAATTATTTCCAAATATTTTTTTAAATTGCTCATGGACTGGGTTCCCCATTTTGAGCTTCTGATTTTGCTTCTCAGAGCCGCCACCATCGCCATCACAGGCAGCCCCTAAGAGGCGCACTACAGATGTGCTAATGAGTCTGGAAGAGGAGAGGACCAAGGCACCCTAAGGAATGAAGCCGGGGCTGCGGTATTAGCCATCCAAAGCAAGGAAGTTGATATTCAACCCTACATCATTCCCGGGGGTGGAGGGAGAGGAACAAGAGAAAAAAATAACTAAAATATTGATGGGAAGGGATTGAGATGAACTAGATTTAGTATGTAGTTTTTTATGTGTTTGCTTGTTTTTAAAAGAAAGAAGCCACCGTTTTCTTTGTCTTGTTTAAATTTTGTGTTCTTCTTTTTTTTAAAAAAAAATATTGAGGTATGATTGACGTACAAAAAAGCTGTACATATTTAATGTATAAATATTAATGAGTTTTAAGATAATTATATACCCTTAAAACCACCATGAATCCTTTAAAATCTCTGACTCCCCTCCCCATCCCTGGGTGCTGGTGCCATTTGGGGGCTCAGTCCATCTGGTTTCCAGATGACCTAATCTATATATATAAAAGCATAATATGCAACGTGTCCCCTCAGCAGTTCGACCCAGAGACGGGGAGTTCGATTGATCGCTGTGATGTGCACCTACCACCAGGGGGCGGCGTAGACCATGGTGGGAAGGAGAAGGTGGGGAGGCGGGGAGGTGGGGAACCTGATGGGCCCTGGTTGCCGGCCAGGCCTAGGGACCCTACCCTTGCATGTGCACCGGGCCTCTAGTAAATGTATAATTCTTTACCCCTTTTGTGTGTTCCTCCTTCGGCGACCCTAACAGAAATTATTTCCAAATATTTTTTTAAATTGCTCATGGACTGGGTTCCCCATTTTGAGCTTCTGATTTTGCTTCTCAGAGCCGCCACCATCGCCATCACAGGCAGCCCCTAAGAGGCGCACTACAGATGTGCTAATGAGTCTGGAAGAGGAGAGGACCAGGGCACCCTAAGGAATGAAGCCGGGGCTGGGGTATTAGCCATCCAAAGCAAGGAAGTTGCTATTCAACCCTACATCATTCCCAGGGGTGGAGGGAGAGGAACAAGAGAAAAAAATAACTAAAATATTGATGGGAAGGGATTGAGATGAACTAGATTTAGTATGTAGTTTTTTATGTGTTTGCTTGTTTTTAAAAGAAAGAAGCCACCGTTTTCTTTGTCTTGTTTAAATTTTGTGTTCTTCTTTTTTTAAAAAAAAAATATTGAGGTATGATTGGTGTACAAAAAAGCTGTACGTATTTAATGTACAAATATTGATGAGTTTTAAGATAATTATATACCCTTAAAACCACCAGAGTCACCACATAAAATACCATAAGCTTAACTGTCGCTTCTAAAAGTTCTAAAATTTTCTCTGTGGAGGAGGGAGGGAGGCAATCACCCTGGCTCTCTGATGTGACTCGGCCACAGGGTGCCCCCAGGGTCCTCACAGGGTCCCCCAGGCTTGAACAATGACCAGGGGCCTGCCCGCAGCTGCCTGGCTGGGCCCTGCACAGGCGCCTTCCCGCTTTCCACACCCGCGTTTAGCTTGGCTGCACCCCAGGGAGCTCTTCCCGCCTCCCGCAGGCTCTGCTTGGAGAGATCTCACCTGCGGGACGGCCTCCGTGTCGCCTGCTTCTGGCGTGTTTGTGCCCCATGTTCCAATCTAATGATTCACAACCAGAAAGCCATGGGGTGTAAAGCACTAATTGAAATTTCGGTGCTTGCTTTCTGCATTCTGGGAACGCGCGCTCCTGCCTGGTTAAGTGAAGAGGGGTTGTATTTTCTAGCTCATTGATTTATCCTCATCAAGGCGCCAAATATAGCGCCGTGTGAGTCAGCATGGGGAGGGCGCTTCTCCCGCGCCCTCGACCTCAGACTGCCATCGCCTCCAGCTCTCCGCATGTGCAAACAGCCTGAATTGGATTTGGTGTGATCACCACTCCTCCCCTGTCAGCGGCTATTTATCGCATTTAGGTTCCGAATGGAGGATTTTAGTGAGACCCTCACAGTGAGCTCTGCACAGTACTGGCTACAAAGAGAACACCCTGTGGGTCTGGCACCAGCGCCTTATGCCTGGCCTTGTGGGATGGACCGGGAAGCCAACCTCGCTGCCCCCTCCCCTCTCACCAGATCTGCTCCCTGCACGAGGAGGTGGCTTCCTGGCTGTGCCAGGAATTTCCCAGGAGAAGGACGGAGCAAGTGAGGAGCCATAGGCAGTTCCCACGTGGCACAGGCTGGGCTGCAGGGGGTGGAGCCCAGAATCTGCATTCCCCCAAACCCACCCTTGCTTGTCAGGGTGCCCTTCACAGAGCTATGCTTACCGACTCCCCCGGAAGCAGGTGGCAGCAGCGTCCTAAGGCACCGTCGTGCTGTCACACACAGAGACACACTTAGGGACAAAGACACCGACCCACAGTCACATGGTCACACGGAAAGACACGCATGCACATGGCAGTCACAGGGACGCACACATTCACTGCCTGCCACTTGCTCTCTTCTTCTGACTCAGCGAAAATTATGTGAACTGTCTTATTTCCATCTCTCTTTCCCTTATTCCCATCTCTCCACCCCAGGTGGAGATGTCCACCAAACCTCTTGGTCTCGCTCCCAGCCCCTCATAGGTAGGTGAGCTCAGCGCACGTGGTGGGTGTGCCTTCCGGGCACCATCTTCCATTCTCTCTTCCTATTTCTGCCATCGTCACGCAGATGAACTTGACGGGCACATCCTGAACTTTACATGATAAAGAAATGAATGCATGTACATGGAGGCCCTGAGACTTTGGAGCTCCCCGTAGATCCCCCAGCCTCACCTGAGCTCAGACAGTCCTCCAACCAGGTAGCCGCTGCGTGAGACCACCAGCCGTCCATCGGCACCCAATGCTGTGGAATGAATGGGTGCATGAATGAATGAACAGGCAAATGAAGGAGCATTCAGGAGACTGCCACATGCCCTGCTTCTGCCTCCCCCCATCTCTCCAGCCTGACCCCGAGGCTGGGCTGGGTGTCCCTTTCTGGACACGCACAATGGCTGGACTTGTCCTCTCAGGGTCGGGGAGCTGTTGCCCTGTGTCCCCTCCCCTGCCAGGCTGGGGGCTCCATGTGGCAGGACAGCGCGGGTCTCACCCACCACTGTTTCCAGCTCCGGCCGCGGGGCCCGCACACAGCAGGCACCTGGTAGACGCACCCCCTGACTGAATGCATTCACCAGGATTTGTTGGGACTTTGAGTCGACCAAGCCCTCCCGTGGATCTGTTTGATTCCTGGGTTCAGAGTGAGGGCTGTGGTGGCGAGAGGGACAGCGTGATCGGAATGTGCCGCCCCCTGGGTTAGAGAGAAAGTGCTCAGAGGGCAGACTCTAACCTGGACCAACAGGGATCACTTCAGTTCATGTCTCCAGGCCTTGCGTGCAGAGAGCAGGGGTCGCCTGCACTCTCGTTCTCTCTCTCTTCAGAATAAAGCCTCTGAGGTAGAAGGGACCCAGGACAAATGCCAATCTAGGCCCAGAAAGGTCGAGGACTCACGGAGCCGCACACAGCATGTGGGTGGGAGAAGCAGACCTGGTCTCAGCCCCGAATCCCCTCCCCCTCTGTGCTCTCTGCAGAAGCCCAAGAGGCTCTAAGAATAGCAGCAGCCTGGCCTGGATTTTCTGAGAAAGCCCTGATTTCAAAGAGTTTTGCCGTTTGCCTGTGAGTGCGCTAGAACTTGTCAGGCTCTCCTGCAGTCCCGCGTGGAGACTATGTGTCCATCTGTCCCAGGCGCAGCCCAGACAGACACCCTGCGCGGCGCCTCAGGCCACTTCCCGACTGGTCACAGAGGTCAGCCTGAGAACCCTCCCACTAGAGGGCACTCCCCCTTCCCCACCCACCCCGTGCCTGCCAAGCTGCCA